TAATCGTCTGCAATTTGTACAACATAAATAAACCACGTCCTTTGTGAGTTGGCCGAATGCAAGTCAAAAACACATTCTCATCGGACGACGACAAACGACGAGAAGCCGCGCGAAGTGGAATGAACAAGTAGGACTGTAACAACACTGGTCCGCGCGCTACTTTCACGGCGGCGATCAAACAAAATATCAAATCGGAGGTACGTTTTTATTCGTCGTCATTCCAAGTTCGGACTGATATAAAAATATATTAATATGTAAACTATTTTTATTCACAGAGTAACCATATTTTAAATTTAATTTTGTATCATCAAAAAAAAAAAAAAATATTTGTCAAAACTGTAAAATATAAACCTAATTTAAATTGTAACTAATGGCCTTAGCTGCTGAGTTTATATGATCAATTAGAAAAAAATAATTTAGGTAATATACCTAGGTAATACAATCGATACACGATGAGACTACCGTCGCACACCGCCGGACGGTATAGAATAACTTAGGGGTGTAAAAGAAAAGAAAAAAAACAGATTCGACCAAAACTCTTGGATGAGACCTATATTAATAGTTGTGCCAGTTGTAGTAGCATGTGATCTACTGGAATGCCTAAACGGTGCATGTGRAAACTATTAACTATTAAACTATTTTCGTTTGACGAACCCCACAACCCTGCTTAACGCAATAATCGCTAATATCAGCGACCATTATATTACCTACCACCCCTCCCGCCACCCACGATTTCGACGACATCGTCCGCCGTTCGCGGCGAGAATGGACCGTCAAAGGGGTGTGTGTTAAGGGATGACGGAGGGTGGTCACCGGCACCTGTCCGCCGTAGTGCGKTAACCGACTACGGTAAACGTGTATGTAATTATATACCTATTTCGAACGCAAAAACCTATAACAACGATACCACGTTGACCGGAATTTTCAAAAATATTAATATTTATAAATATTTTTTTAGATACTTGGGCAAACAGGTGGGCACTAACAAGCAATCGTAGGTATTTTAAACAATACAATATTATAATGTTGCACACGAGACGCCTGTGCTGCAGAATACCCATCTCATTTACCTGTCCATATCGTTAGATGGTCTCCACTGCGATTTCGGCACTGCGTGTCAGTCCATCCGTACCGGGAGGCGATTGGACAGCTTTTTGAAAGTCCGACTACGCGTGTAGGTAATCCACGGACCCSGTTGCAGGTGAGAAGATGGCGAGCGACCGGAATCGCGGACCAATGGTGAAAATATTGCGAAACGTATACACACACACGCGCGCGAGCACTCTCACGCTCGAGGACTGAATCGGTACTGTGATCGCGATGCGCGAAGAGGATGGAGAACTGGTAACGTCAAACGTCCGGCAATGTAGAACGGCGACTGTCGGACGGGCGACGGTGGCGTCGTCTACTACTACTACAACAGTACTACGGCGGCAGCAGCGACGACGACGACGTACCCGGCAGAGTAACCACCGCGCGCCCCACCACGGCCGACGAAAAACACGTCGTCCCGTCCACACGGCCACTGACCACCCGCCAAACGACACACGATGCGGCCGCTTTACGGCGACTACTTACCAGTGTACGACAGTCGTGGCCGCGGGGGCCAGGGAGTAATATTATATTATTTTAATATTATCTATTTTATTTCATCACATGGAATACAACGCGTGCGCGCTCGCGGTGGCGGCGGGTGGACCTTTTCGCGTGCATTGTGTTCTTCTATCGATTTACCGCCGGATGTGTATCGGCGAGGCCATCTGGTAGTCTACTACCCGAACTAAAACGCACTGGAGACGCGACTGTGACGAGACCAGCGGCGRARCAGCCGCGGCTGCGGACGACGCGCGCTCTCTCTTCTCTCGTACCACTCGCTCACTCACGCTCATTATAATGACGATGCTCGTGTGCGTTATGCGTACCGCCGTGACCATGTACCCGGTAACCGGATCCTGAGGACGTCCCTGGAAATAAATATACCCTGCAAAGGCTACTCTACCAGGTTGATGATTCAAATGAAAACGTACAACATTACGTCCTATATACGACATTATTCCGGCGAAACCGTACATTACGATAATAATATAAAAAGGGTGCACACAAAATTAAGCCATAAGCACTTATTTGAAAAGGACTCTTTTTTKAACGCTGATATKGATATAAATATATAATACATTRTTAATATTATATTATGTACCTAATGTTATTTATTTTTTCATTGATGTTAATGACGACCCTACTAGTTTAAAGTTTAAACATTACAATTTAACGTTTTTTATGGACATAGGCTTAGAAAATATAACTCCAGATCAGTAAAATAAAAATGTTGTTATAAATAAAAAAAAAATTCAAAACTATAAAAAAGGAAATTTTAGGGTTTTTAGTGTTTTTGTTTTTTATTTTTTGATCAGGATTTAATTGATTTTATGTGATATASTTTTATAATATGTATGCCTATACACCGTAGATTATACTCTAAATGCCATAGTGTAAAATTGATATACTAATACCTAATCATTATAAACCCTATATAAACGAATCAAGCGATGTAAAAGAGCCTCATTGCACAAAATGTATACGGACGGATTTCGCAAAAAATCTCGGTYTCCCGGAAGGTTAATCTGTTAAAATATAATATAATAGGTATTATCTTAAGCTGATATACTACAGCTAAAGTATAAAACCTATACACTTCAAAAAAATCCTCTATTTCACTAAGTTTTTACTATATCGTGGTGTGCAAGTAAACATGTCACACGACACATAACTGTTTTTTTTTCGTACGACATCCATTGCAAACCCGGAAAAACAGTTTTCTGTCTCATATTACGTCTAAATTTATGGTATTACTTTCGTACGCCATTCTATTTTATCGTCGCTGAGTGCTGACCCTTTTCTTTGGTTGTTTTCTTTGCTACTGCTCTGGTTTTGGATTTTCCTCGTCAGTTATCCTACACACATAACCTTGCCTAACACTACCTATCTGGTGGGCATCTGGGGCTGTACTTTTAGTGAATTTATATGTACTGTACTTACTCTAGAAAAGTTATTTTGKCTGAAATCACGACATGTAATTTGCCACGACGTTTCTCATTATCTACCAACGTAGTATCATATTAAAAATTTAAAACACCTAACTCTTCGTCACATAGGAGTGACTAGACCTTTTTCATAGGTCGAGCATAAATTTAATAATATTATATATCAATGTAAAACCCGGTAAGGATTAACAGTTTGATCCCCAAATTTTGAAAAATTTGAAAGAAAAAAAATATCGTTACTTATTATTGTGAGTATAGAAATCAATAATAATTAATCAAAGAGAAAAAATTAAATATTTATATTTAAAAGGCGATCCTAGTATTGCTTTGGTATCACATTTAGGTATAATTGATGTTTTGTCAAATTTCGCATATCGTTYATGTACATAATAGGCACTACCTACAGTTGTAGACACGCCTCGTCGTAACAATATACTCATGTCTCWTATTGTATACAATGACAAAAACAATGTACAAATAGCCAATAGGTACACACTAAATAATACTTGTAATATAATGTATTATTATGATTTAAAATACAATAATATTTTTCTTCCATTGTCCCACTGTATGGTTTTGATCGAAATCTAGACTTCTAGTTGATTAAATTCTCGAGATCGTATATATTTATAGGTATATATATACCTATTAAATTATAGCACGATTTGTTCGATAATAAACAATTAATTATTTTTTATTAGTACTTGGGCGGAACTCTAAATAATATTGGTAATATATATAAACAGTCGTAACTGACATGATATTATATTTTAAACAAAACAATTTACAAAAATGTGTACAGTAATATGAAAATAAGTAAATTTGATTAATTGATTTCCAATTGGTATATTATAATAATATGATGACAATACATTTTGATTTTAATGTTTCTAAAACTACATTATGATTGAATGTCCAAATGTCTATTTTAAAAGTATTTAAAAATTTAAAACGTTTAACTTATGATAATGTATAGGTAATATTCTTATGTACAAATAAATGTATGTGTATAAATATATRCATTTACGTTTACGATTACTATAGTTTCTAAGATAATGAGATACGATGCTTGTYAATTTTTCATATTCGTTACTATTAATACTTACTAAATGTTCTGAGTAGTCATATACATAAAATATTAATACATTTTAGAGTAGGCTACTGCTGGCATAGGTCAAACGCCTACACGAGGTTAGCATAGTACAATACGTATTATAGATTGTAATTAAAAATAATTTATCATAGTAATATGACATAATATTTTAAAATAAGAATTAAAAGTGGAATGATTTTATTTAAAAAAACATATAATAAGAATAACCTAGATCCTAGATTTTACTTTCCAAAAATACATTAAAAAAAAATAGTACGAGTACTTCACCAGCAACAAAGTAATTAAAACATACCTATATATTTTATAAATGTTAATAACTATTGACTTAATCATGTAATCACTATAATATGGCCGATATGGGTAGTATATATTTTTTATTCCTTATATTACTTTTATATCTTAATATCAGTACCTACATTATTATGTTATAATAACACATATTCTTTCCACTATTTTCTCATAGTACCCAAGAGGTGCCATTTATCACCATGTGATTTTTCAAACGGAATTTATTTTATAATATTATGCATATTTCATATTATAGAATTTGTTCATGTAACTTACAGAATATTTCTAGAATAAATGTTTTTTTTTTTAAGTAAAATGATAGACTCTAATAATAATCGATAGAAGATAAAACTGGGTAAGATTTTATCTTSCAGGCATTTTTACTTTCACAAAAAGAGTTACCTATGTAGTGTATATAAATTTAAAAATATAAACACGGTGAAATGTTATAATTTCTTAAAATAGATAACATTTGTGTTCATCAAGATTTAAAGTGTTATCGAAATTCATGAAATGTGTTTCTATTTTGTGGAGTAAAGTTCGATAATACTATTATGGATGGTTACTCTGATATTTATGTAATATCGCACTTCTTCGTTTTACACAATTTTAAATTTTGAACTTGAAATATCTTTCATATTAATTATACTACTATAAAATTATAACTATTTAAGCCAAAGGTAAAATAATAATTCTTGTACTAATTATATTATCTTATTTTTGCGTGYTTAAATAATTTTTAAATGTTTTTAGATTCATTTGTATTAATACTACTTCAACATACGTYGACATGACATTATATAGTTATTTTTCGATGAATCTTTCAAATCACGACACGCACTAGTTTTGGAATTAGTTAATTATAATCAGGTACTCTTTATTCARAAATTAACCAAATCATAAAAATAATTTTTCTTCTATATTTAGTTGTGTTAGAAATGTTAGAATACATGTGTGTAAAAGAATTATATTCRAAACTTCGTWCACGATCATTAAATACAAGAATTGACTAATCGATGCAAAAAGTGTCTTAGAAAAATGAGTTTATGATATTTTATAATGATTTAGCTTATTTAATTTTAGCGTTTTCAAAATAATTGAAATTTTAATGAAAAAAATTACATTTTCTATTAACGTTACAAGTATCTAAAAATAAATATAATCGAATAGACGTTTGATGAAATATATAACATTGATTTCTACGGCATTACCTTTAAAGTTATAGTATATTGTTTTTACAGTACAAAAAGTCATTCGTTTAACTCTGGTTAGCTCAATTTGTCTATGGTATAGCTTTGGCCGGGTTATTAGACTATCGATTAAATTCCATACAACAAGGTTACAAGCTGTAGTTGTCCACATGGTTTCTATTGGCAACATACAGCTTAAACAGAACCTCAGGAATATTTTCAGTATTTTCATAAATATGCTCCGATATATACTATGCATTTCAGTGYATTATCRTGCGAATCAACCATATGGGATTGAATAACAACGAGAACAATTATAATTAAGTAAAGTGAGTTTAAATAAAAAATTGTATTATTATTATTATTTATTTATTTAAGCCGTATACCTATAGGTAGTAATTTACATAGTAGGTATATGATTTACTATGATTACACTTACATTTTGTGTCACCGAATAAAATATGCTTGTTTTATAGGAAGTCTCCAAAAAATAATRTATAAATAATTCTTAGTCTAATAAACGTTATAGATACAATATAAATTAGTAATACCTAGATATAATAATATATTTGATATAATGGATGATCTAAGAAATAATTCGTCTGATTTGTTTATATAATATTATCTACTRAATTTGTAAATAACCATMTCATTAGTCATTACYACATATAATAATTTAAAAATAACRAATTGTAGACAATTTTTTTATGTGCCGGGTGTTATATTATTTTAATTTACTAGAAATAGTTGTTGCGATTAACATTTAARTATTTAAATGCGCTTGCATAYTTAATTTTAACTATCTTGAGATTAGCTCATAATCAACTTAGCCAAGATAATAACTCTAAATAATCAATCAAATTTTTGGATTAGACTTTTGTATTTAGTGCTTTAAAACACATATTTTGAAGAAAAAAATCGAAAAATCGCTTGGGAACTAAACTGTATTAATATAGGTACCGATGTTTTTATTGAACATTCAAATACATTATTTTAACAATTTTAATATTATACTGTTTTGAATAATATTTTATGTTGTACTTYCCTACATTATTTTTGCTACATTGTTCTCATATCAACAGATTYAGATCGTGAATTTAAAATAAAAAGTATTTATTAAATCATAAGCTGTCACCTGCTAGTTTAAATAATTGTTGAATATTTGCATAAAAAAATTGTGAATTTGTAGATTTCGAGGTTTCGTCTAATAATCAGCATAATATAGGGTATTATTACGCCACTGTTTTATCAAGGTTTAACTTGGATTTTATAAATTTATCTAAGTGTACTCATCTAGTTTGGTCGCTCGTATTATAATGTGTAAATGTGATAAATTCTTAATAACGTCAATATTAAGGCCACATAGATCCATATGAATAACTACTATACTCATATATTATTATCTATATTCCCAAAAGATAATGTAAATTGTATAAATAATATTAAGTGGTGACGTATTATAATATAGTCGCATAGGTAATGTVCGACTTACCTTGACACGCCCCGCCATYGACTTTTGTACAATCCTCGGGAAACTGTCGTTAATCGTTGAACGGAATAAATGAAACTCACAAGTACAATGCCATATTATTGATTATAAACACTGTTTTATTATAAATAATATTAGAGCAAAAATAAAAAATAATTAATGACGGCCGCCTTTTCCATTTAAATTGACCGGCRACGGAAAATGTCGCGATCGGCCATTCGCTTGTAATTCCACGTACTTTAATATGTAACTTGGACCGCGGTCGMGATTCGAGGTAACAGACTTTATACCGTGACCGCCGCGTGGTCAGTAATAATTTAACCGAGTTTCCAATGCACTGTGCACCGTGTTCCGTTATCATGCAAGTAAWATTCTGAAAGTAGACGTGACGTTTTGTAGTGTGTTGGTTACTATTGTTATTAATGGTAACTTAATTTACCACTGTATTATCACACTGCGAAAAGTTGAATTCAACTTTGTGGTATCATTGGTAAACTCGGCTTACCATGAAAAAAACCCAGGTAATACCTATAACCTGCTATCCACCACGTGGTTCAACCAATCAAGATCCTATAATGTACGGAACACGGTACACGCAGTATAATATTGTATATTGGAAAATCGGCTTTAAGCCGGATTCAAAGCCATGTCGTGTCGCGCGATTGCGATAACTATGGTTACAAAATACAAGGTTACAACTAGTAACCATGTCGGTTTAAAAGTTGAGCCGTATTCAATTCTTGGTATCTTCAGTTTTAACTTGGTTATAACACCATACCAAAAGTTAAACGTCCAATCAGAATGTGGTTTGATCGACACGACGTAGCAGCTGTGAATCCGGCTTTATGGTTAATGTTTCACTTATTTCCTCGCGTCCGAATAACCACGGCAACCGTATTTTCATTATATAGCGGAAAAGTTTTACAATACAAACGGTTTGAAACGYTTATAAGATTGAAATTCAAAAGCGCTTTGTGTATAACCTAACCTCATCGGTTGTTTTTAACCGTGGTGTAAGGCATAAAATGTTAATTGTGATAAGTCGTAATAGATAGTCGCAAAAGTATAAACAAAGTCGACCACAGTTCTGGTTAATAGAGTTAAACAGACCAAACGCTGAGTCATGGCGTTTGAAATGTTTGCAAGCGTTTTATAGGCTCCGTTTAGCAAACAGACAGTCCGAATTTCTCCGTTATCAAACGTTTACAAAGTTTTCCGCCATCGCTAGTCTCTGCAACGTCCGCGCTTTGTCCGATTATTCTCAACAACTCTCGATCAAATCGTTTTCGTCATCGCCATCGCCAGACGGATTACGAGTGTTACAAGCCGAGAACGGTGCCAAAGGCAAAACGCGAGTCTTTCACCTATGTTATGTCGTTAAACGCAATGTCCGGAAAGTCCAACGAAAAATAAAACTGTTTGCATTTCACCTCAACGGACGCTTCGTAAGTAACACTGCGAGATGTGATATGTAGTTAGTGATACACTGTTCTTGATTAGTGGTAGAAGGTCATCTATATGGCTATATGCATAAAATCATTGTTATTTGGTACCTATTCATTTAAATGTTTTTTCTCAATAACGTAGTTAAATTTTCCGAAGGAATGCAAAAGATACTGTTTTGGGAACATCGTAAGGTCTGCGCTAACACGACAACGTTCTGAAAATATTATTCCGTCTTTCATATTGAGAATTATTTGGAATTGATTTTCTTATAATAAATTCGTTTCAATTTAGAATGTTAAACATATTATTATAGGAATATTTTAAGAAATACGTACGTACAATAATAAATAAGGGAAAACCTAAAAAATAAAATAAATTTTGTTATTAATCGATTGAATATTATTTTACTCTCTCACAGCAGTAAAATAAAAAAAAAATCTTTAAAAACAAAAATGTCAAAGCTTATAGACTGTATTATTATGATCTAAATATTTATAGGTACTTAAATGTGTTTGCAAATAAAGAAAGAAAAGCATTTTGGATTTGTGAACACAGGTTTTATAGAAGGTAATAATATTGTATGTAAAAGTTTTTAAAAATAAAATCTTGTTTTATAGTTACTTTAGTCTGGAAGTCGTATAGCGCATATTATAGTTCTTTTAGTTTATCATAATATTTTTCTTGATTTTTTATTCTCAGAGCCAGAGACCCATCATCATCTCAGCTTGTATTATTTAGTATAAAACTATAAATTTATAACAATAAACAACACGTATTTATTATTACAATGATAAAAACTAAAATGTCGGTATAATGTACTTAAGCATTAATTTAAAAGGTTAGGCCAAATATTAATGTTTACTATTTATTTATTTAATATTTATCCCCACGATAAACCCGAAATTCTTTAATTATATTTCAAAATATTATTTAATAGGTATTACTGTATTAGTATTATAATAGTATGTTATGCGCTATAGTATGTACTGCAGAAAGACGGCATTATGATATTTTTCAATTATTTTCGGTTAGGCCACAGACTTGGTGTTACACCTGCAGCAGCAGTACAATACGTTCGGGTAGGTATAGAAATATTTTACACACAAACGATCTTGGCTAGTAAGGGTGGCTACGGATTATATTCATGGTTTACCTGTAATTGTGTCTGATAAATGTTGCTAGGGTCTTATTTTATAGCGACTACAGGTACATAATATGTGTAAAATCATCCAAGGTAAAATATTATAATGTTACAAGAAGATGAAAAAAAACGTAGGTAGGTTAGGAATTCAATGAATACGAAAACATGCTATTTCTCAACCCCGTTGCACCGAATCCAAAAAAAAAAAATAAAATCGATATTTTCATACGACATAAAAATGTTTTGTTATACTCGGTACTCCTCCTGCCTACAGTACTACATACATAATAGTATAATATTCGAGAAATAACCACTTTTTAGAACGTGYGGGGATGAAGACAGTATGCGTAAACAWAATTATACTCACAGAACTGACAATATAATTACTTTAATATAAAGATTAAAGAACACTACATTAAAACAATAACACAATTATAAGCAAACTGTACACGAGTAAAATACATACTCGTATTTTAATCTAAAATTATACACCATTATTTTATTCATTCGAYCTAGCTATAGGTATAATTATAGAATTCAATGAATAACATTCAATGGACCATCCGTGTAGATTTTATTGTTAAAGATCTCCTTTTATTATTATTTAAATGCACATACATAACATAATGAATAATTTCAYTTACCTTTACAACATATTTTAAACAGTCTCAGTCATTGCTAAATATTCTGCAATGGTCGATGGTGTCATGCGGTTTTTTAAATTATGAATTCAATGGTTGTTGATTTTACTTGTAGGTATTCSATTATTTTTTACTATAGTCTCACTAATAGATAATGGCATTAGTTTGTTTGCATATATATTTGACAGGTTAGTTAGCAAATATACGTGTGTGTATTTCAGTGTTTGCAAAGAAAACCGAATTGCATTAAGTAAACTTTGAAAACTACCTTTTAATACATTTTTGAAGTTAATGCAAAAGTATCAGTAAAAACTTAAGTTTGTTAAAAATAAAAGAATGAAACAAGTCCATCGACCTTTACTGTAATAATAATAGCTTGATGCAGTTGATATTCGTTACACGTATACTTATTTAGTTATTTGTTTAATGTGACTATGTGAGTACTCAATACCTATGGAGTACAAATATATAATGCCACTATGTCAGAAGTTACAAATACAAATGTTGATCYTTTGTTTTCTCTGAAATTAATCAATACGTATTAAACTTACTAAATTACAAAAGTAAAAAAAAAAAAAAATGATATCCATGCTTTGTACATTTTTGCATTTGTATTTCTATCCTTTTATTAGGCATGTCGAGAGATCGCAATTATTAAAAAATATATAAATACCGGTACGACAAATTTAAGATTTATACAAGTATAATTAAAGATATCAAATATTATTATTATATATTTATATAACYAAATTTATCACATTATATAGGCAACTATTATAATTTATAAGATATAAGTTATAGCACATGTGGGAAAAATCCAAAAGATATTTAAGCACCACTAAAACTTTTCTCGTRTGTTAATTTAGCATTGTTAAGAACAAAGAAATATTTTGTAGATCTAGGTTATTTTCGAAATTCTTATTGAATAGTCGTGTAAATTCAAACTATTCAAACTTAATTCACAACAATTATCATAGTATGACGACGCTCTGTTACTAACGCAGATAAGTTGTCTAATAAGATCAAAGTAGATAAATTAGATCTTACTAGATAGACTGACAGAAATATAAATTTGTTCACTTATATTAAATTGTACTATATTATAATTATATTATATTATGTTATAATTATATTATATTTAATTGTGTGTYTATTAATATTCCAACATAATGCGTTTTATGGTGACTAATGAGGAAAATATAAAAATGATATTATGTGGTATTTTAGTTTATACAAATTATTATATTATAATTTAATATAATATTTATTATAAAACAGGTATCAAATGGGTAATTTTAATATTAATTATTTAGATGAAGAAATAAAATATCTTGGTTATTAATTTTTTT